CTCTCTCTCTCTCTCTCTCTCTCTCTCTCTCTCTTTCGTTGACACAATTTCATGACTTTTTAATTGTCTATTGATTTGTGTTTTAATTTTGTGGTTATATTTCAAATAATAGAATAGCCAACAAATGGAGAAATAAAATTGAATTTTATGATAACTCCAGAAACGGCACATTTTGTAAAATACCTATTATTCGTATCCAATTATTAGAAAAACATTATTTTTATTATTGTGTAAAACTTTTTAATAGTTTACCAAAGATTGTAAGAAATGAAAACAATTATAACAAATATATTAAATTGTTAAACGATTATTTGTAATACAATGTATTGCTTTTGAGACAAGTACTTAAATAAAAATCATTATTATTATTATTAAAAAACAATATAAGAGCAATATTTTATAATCAAATGCAAGGACATTTAATTTTTGTTTGGAAATTTTAATAGAAGATGCCAAAATGACAAAAATAATGCCTAGGTCAAACATATTTTAAATAAAAGCATAAATAAAAATCAATTTAGTACTGAATATGATATTAACTTTAATACGTGTCTCACAAACACAACACTTGCACTTAAATTATTTTAACTTATAAATTATATCAACAAAATATTCAACTAAACAATAATTTTGATATTAAATATTGGTTGAGAAACAAAAATTATCATGATTTTAAATAAAATATTTTTGACAAACAGTTTAAAAATATGACAATTAATTCTACAAAAATTATTAATTAAAACATTTATAACATTCATAATTAATAAAAATGACAAATTAATTGGACTTTTTATTGGTGTCCGCAGACATCGGGTCCGCCACTTCTTTACCATTGATGACCTGATAATAGAAGATACACATCCACTGCAACCAAGTATAGAAACAAATTACTATCGTCATTTATTTACACAATTATATATACAAAATACATACCACTGACCAGATTACATTCATCACCATGATCAATTGCAGCAAAATGTGTAGTAGAGTTAATATAGTATAACTTTCGGGTAATAGTGACGCCCTGTATATACCGTTGAGCGGGAAGTAATATAAACGGCTTATAACCCAAGTGACCGGTAGGGAAAAGGCACCGATAGTGTAGGCCATCTTAAAATGTGGCCTAATTTTACCATTATGTTCCCTCACAGCGTATAACAGTTTTGAAAAATCAATAAATATATCGTTTATATCGTGCAAAAACATGATTACAACTCCGCAATCTTGGTTACTATGGAACAGTATCATGAAGGTTTTAATAATTTTTTAATGATAATCATACATGTATACTACCGGGTCATATACGATCCCAACACCAAAATGATCGTGACCATATGGTGTACAAGCATCAAGATGGCCGTGATTAATTTCTTCTGGGGCGCGGCAAATAACTCGGTATATAAACCCTCCAAATAATATGAAATTTGTATAAAGTAATAGATTTTGATTAAGGTTGGCATCGGTGTTGTCTCCGAATATACTGCTCCCAGAATGATCATAGTTAAAAATTAATTTATCATAATGTTAATTATACTCTAATTATTGGAGTATCAATCTCAAACCAAACAAGTTTGAAGTAAAATTTAATAAATTCACCATAATTACAACGGCTTATGCATTGTTATTAATAGCTATACTCTAATAACGATGGCATTATAAAAACTTACCAAAGTCAAACTTAGCAAAACATACGGTACAGTCTTTGAAAAATAATATTCTTATGGCCAATAGAGTGACCAGAGTATGGCAGCACAGTTTGAAACCGCTATCACATGCTTTGTCCACATAATTGATGTTGGATTTAAGTGACACACATAACGGCTGTTAAATTTATATATAAAAAACAATTAACAATTGTATTAATCTAATAATTTATTAATACACATAATAATATAATAAAGTAAATTAACAGTGGTCAATACACGCAATACACTTTATACCTTAAACAAATAATTTTGAATAAAATATCTTGATTTAATAATTAAATAAATTGTGATTAAAATACACACGAAATCAATTGGCGTAATATTTGAGCTAAATTTACGGATGTCTTGCGATATGTTATATAATGTTATATTATGGGAATGTTTTCGCAATTTTTTGCTTATATTACTAAATACTCTAAAATAAGTTATACTCATATTTTTATAATAATTTAATTATAAATAATTGTTGCATATGTTTTATAACTACTTTCACTTTGCTTTAGGTACCAATAAATAAAATACTTTGGTTATAAAACGTGTAGTTTTTAAATTCAACATTTTAGTTTAACATTCATCAACAGCTAATTAAATAAAACAATAAAAATTTTCCTGTTTTATTAATTATAAGCTATTGTTATTTATATATTTATTTAGATAGATTGTAATGTTTTAACAATACAATTGTAATAATAAATGCAATTATTTATTTTTAATATTTTGTTGTTATTATGAATCGCAATTTAATTGTAATATAAAGTATCTTTTAATACAAAAAAAATGTAGAAAATATTTAAAATTTGTCTAATGTTTAAAAATACTGGAAATTTCCTTACTTACTATTAATTTTTTACCATGTTTTAGTATGTACAAACTAATCATGGAATAATTTATTAAAATAAATCAATTAAAATATTTTCCAATTGTGCATTTTAATAGTTAAGTGCATTTTGAATAATTAACTTTTTATAAAATAATAAATAATTTTGTAGTCATGTAAATCTAGACATAAAACATAATGTTTAGTTATATTTTATTACAAGTC